ATACGTCTTGAGGAGTTTCTAGCCCTATGGATTTTGGACTTGCCCAGACAGATCCCACAACTGAGTAAACCAATTCATTGAAATAAATCACTATATATCCATATCAATCTATACATGTATATGCATATACACACATATATATGAGCATATATGCAAATAATATAAACATAAAAAATCACCATTTATGTATGTGTGTATATATAGAGAGAGAAAAAGAGAGAGAGAAATATAGTAAAACAAAATTTTAATGTCTTGAGGGGTGCCTGGGTGGCTCAATTCGTTAAGCGTCCAATTCTTGATTTCAGCTCAGGTCATGATTTCAGGGTCCTGAGATTGAGCCCTGTGTCCGGCTCTATGCTCAGCAGGAGTCAGCTTGGGATTCTCTCCCTCTCCCTCTGCCCCTTCCCCCACTCACACCTCTCCATCCCTCTCTCTCTGTAAAATAAATAAATAAATAAATGAAATATTTTTAAAAATTATGCCTTGAGGGGCACCTGGTTGACTCAGTCCGTGGAACATGCAACTCTTGATCTCAGAGTCCTGAGTTCAAGCCACACACTGGGCTTAGAGCTTAAAAAAACTTAAAAACTGGAAAAATATGCCTTGGAAAATTAGAAGATCACCATATTATAACCCTAATGAATTACATATCTAGGTACTAGGCATCAATGCAGCTATCATCACAGAGACAACCATTACACGGCTCCTGAAGGAAGCACACACCACAATCTATGAAGTTAATTTTGCCCCCCACCACACCCCAAACTGAACCCTAATCAAACAAAGCTTTTAGATTAGGGTTATAATTGCCAGATTAAATTCAGGAAGCCCAATTAAAATTGCATTTCAGATAAACAACAAATAATTTTCTTAGAGCAAGTATATCCTATGCAATATTTCATATGTCTCATGCATTATATTTGGGATACACTTTTACTAACAAGTATTCATTGTTCATCTAAAATTCTGTTTTAACTGGGTACTTTGTATTTTTATTTGCTAAATCTGGCAATCCTACTTTAGATCTAACTATCCATTTACAAGAAACACAAAGGACTGAGAAACATACTAATTTGAATACTCACTAGATGTTTGATATTAAGAAATTATCAAATTTTAGTTGTCTAGTTGTATTGTAGGTTTATTTTTAAAGAAGCTCTGATATTTTATAGATGCACATTAAAATGTTTGTGGATTAAATTATGATGTCCTGAAGGTCCTTCACAATCATTTGGAAGGGAGGGAAGTGGAAGGGGTATAGATGTAACAAGACTGGCTTTGAACTCATGATGTTGAAGCTTCCTTAAAAGTACATGCGATTTTGGGGGATCCCTGGGTGGCTCAGTGGTTTAGCGCCTGCCTTTAGACCAGGGCGTGATCCTGGAGTCCCGGGATCGAGTCCCACATCGGGCTCCCTGCATGAAGCCTAGTTCTCCCTATGCCTGTGTCTCTGCCTCTGTCTCTCTCTGTGTCTCTTGTGAATAAATAAAATCTTTAAAGAAAAGTACATGTGATTTCATTATACTCTTCTATTTCTGTGTATGTTTAAAATTTCCCATAATAAAGTTTTTAAAAGAAACAATATCTAGCACAGTAACTGACATACTGTAAATATTTAATATGTATCTGCTGGCAGGCAAATTTTTTTTAAGAAAGCTCTCAGATGGCCATCAAATGGAAAAAACATCTTGGAAATGAGATTACAAGCATGAATATTCCTGAAAACACAAATGAGATTCATTTAGGGACCAAACAATACTCAAATGGAAACAATAATGGATTTGCCCAGACAAGGGAATTTGTTTATTTAAGATGAACAGTTGTGAAAGTCTGAGCAGAAGAGGTACATACATTACAGGTACTTAATTTGGGTAAACATAGAAGACATTTTTACCCTCCAAAAAGATGTTATGCAGAAAACAATCCACCTTACATTTTCTTCAATATTTACTATTCCAGTGAACTGTTGTGGAAAGCCGTATTAATTTCCCAAAGGCCTTTAAATTTTTATTTATTTATGATAGTCACACACACAGAGAGAGAGAGAGGCAGAGGAAGAAGCAGGCTCCATGCACCGGGAGCCCGACGCGGGATTCGATCCCGGGTCTCCAGGATCGCGCCCCGGGCCAAAGGCAGGCACCAAACCGCTGCGCCACCCAGGGATCCCTCCCAAAGGCCTTTAGACAGATTTTGAAAATCTGAGTGCTCACATGCAAGTAAATTGCCAATTACTAGAAATTTATGACTTCTCATGCTGAATAATGCATGCACCTGACAGGAGGTCTTTATCAAAAACACAGAATTGTCAGTTTTAAATGCAGTCTTGCCTTAAGCACCAGGTACCTGAGGACAACCAAACTCAGAAGCAACCTCCTGCACAAGGTGCAAGCTAGTGTGTTTAGCGAAGTGTTTAGTGTAGGAAAGTGAAATAAGCTGTTTATTTTATGCTTAATATTTCACCATAAGGATATGCTATAATTAATTCAACCATTCTCTTATTGATGGATGCTTCCCACCTTTGCTATTATAAGTAACAATGCATTTACTCTTCTACATTTACCCTTACATTCTGGTGCTTTAATTTCTGGGCAAGAGATTTTAAGAAGTGGGTTGGCTGGGCCAAGAGAATAAATCTTCTTAATTTTAATAGATATTAATTGCATGTATTTTTAAATTAGGGCTACAATGTAGAATGGTGTAGGGGATTTTTTTGGGGAGATTTTTTATTTATTCATTTGAGAGAGACAGAGAGAATGAGTGAGCATGGTGGGAAAGGTCAGAGGGAGAGGGAGAAGCAGACCCCCGATGAGCAGGTTGCCCGATGAGGAGCTCAATCCCAGGACCCCAGGGTCGTGACCTCAGCTGAAGGCAGACACTTAAACAACTGAGCCACACAGGTGCCCCTGGAATGGTGTTTTAAAAATGCAATCAGTTGGTTAAGGGTCAGACTCTTGGTTACCACTCAGGTTGTGATCTCAGGGTCCTGCTTAAAATTCTCTTCTCCCTCTGCCTCTCCTCGTGGTGTGCTTGCTTGCACTCTCTCTCAAATAAATAAATCTTTATTTAAAAAAATTAAAATTGTAATTACCTAAGTACAAGTCAATCATCTTACTAACTTCACTTCAAATGCTGGGAATTCCTGGGTGGCTCAGTGGTTTAGTGCCGCCTTCAGCCCAGGGCCTGATCCTGGAGACCTGGGATGGAGTTCCACTTCAGGATCCTTGTGTGGATCCTGCTTCTCCCTCTGTGTCTCTGCCTCTCTCTCTGTGTCTTTCATGAATAGATAAATAAATAAATCTTTTTAAAAAACTCAAATGCTAAGTATATTTCAGTTCTGACTTAAGTAGAGAACTGAGTTCTTGGACAACCTCCCATTAACAGTGCCTTTGGTGTTAAAAATCCCATGATTTATTCTGTTTCAGAGCATCCTGTATCAGTACTTCCAGTTTGATATACCGTCCTGTACTAGGAAGTGGCATTTTGAATTGTCACCTTGTCAATCTCTGAATTCTGAATTCCATTTCAATCTGTCCTTCCTTAGTTCTTTTTTGCAAGCAGAGAGTGGTTCTCTGCACTCCTTTAAAAAGGTATTTTTTTAAAGATTTATTTATTTATTTATTTACTTTTAGAGAGAGATGGAGAGAGGGAGTGCAAGCAGGGGGGAGGGGCAAAGGGAGAGGGAGAGAGTCTCCAGCAAACTCCCCAGTGAGCCGGGAGCCCGAGGCCGGACTCAATCTCATGACCCTGAGATCATGACCTGAGCTGAAACCAAGAGTCCAGTGTTCAACCAACTGAGCCACCCAGGCACCTCCAAAAAGATATTTTTATTAGTAACTTTTCCTCTTTTACTTTTTGTCCCTCTAATCTTGAAGATCCCTTTATTTGCTGTTCTTCAAAAGTAACCAACACTTGTTATAACCAGTGAAACAATGCAATACAAGGATGTATAAAGACAAAGCTAATCACTTCCACCTCAACCTCCTAATGTAATCAATATTAACAGCCTGAGTCTTCCACAACCTTCCCTGCTCATACAAACAGATCACATATATAAAATTCTGTTTACACCAAAGTATAAGCATACTGTCCACATTATTCTGCAACTTGTTTCACCCCACTATATACATACATATATACATACACATATATATGTGACAATGACAATATATAGTATTTAACAAAATATAGTGGAGATACTCTACAGTCTTAAGTTTCTTTCCAGTTCTAAAAATTTTTTTTTGTATTCTTTCAGAGAACATACTACCATTATAATTATGTGTAATGAATTGTTCAATGTCTTTCTTCCCTTCTAGACTGAGAACTCCAGGAAGGCAGGGGCCAATTTTGTCCACCCCTGTATCACCAGAATTTAGGATAGTGCTGCTAGGACAGTAATTGCCTAAAGCCTATTTGTTCATTGTTTCAGTGCTTCCTGAAACCTTCAGTCTACCTGAACTGAGTCACTGTCGATACTCATTTATCTTTAGGAACTCAGGCCTGAGAGTCTCCACTCAATGGTATTTGGATGGAACCAGTTGACAGTACATTTTAAATATTTGGGGAAATTTGTGTTTAGCCAAAACCCCTCACTACCACAAAAAATAAGTTTTAAACGATCACACGTTTAACAGGGAGTTCTGCGCTTGTAATTAGGAAACCTGGATTCTAGTCCCACTTCCAACATTAATTACTGTGTGGCCTTTAGGAAATTCCTTTCCTTTCCGGTCCTGGGTTCCTCATCTGTAGCTCTAACATGCATTAATTCCACAAATATGTTCTGTCTACTGCGCGCTGGCACTAGGCTAGGTGCTAGTGACAGAGGGATGAATAATAACTGCCAACGTTTAATGAATGCTTACTCTGTGCTTGGTCTTTTACTAACGGAATCCTAGGCACTCTCTCATTTAATCTCCCATGAGTTAGCACAACCGTGTTATTTTCTGGACTTTACAAAGGAGGGAACTGAGGCATAGCGAGGTGAAGTAACTTTCCCAGCATACCAAAGGACGCGGTGAAGACAGGGCTGGATTCCAGTCAGTGGGGCTTCAGATGCCATTCCAATAACCATAGAAAATCCTTGCCCTCATACCTCGAGGAATATTTCTGGGGCTTGCATTTTGATCCCAGCCCAGGAATACTGGGTGGCGCACCCTTCCCGTCGACGTGAGGGTGCAACGACGACGCAGGAGGCACGTTAGAGAAACCTGTCACTAGCGCGGCAAGGAGCAAGGCTCTTCCTCGATCTCGCGGTTTCCACGCAGAGAAGGTGAAGAGGTGGGAGGTGTCAGCGGGTCTTACGCACGCACGCACGCCTCTGGGGCGTCCCATTGGGTACAGGCTGGCGTGCGGGTCACGCCGGCAAGCCGGGCTTCTCTGAACTCAGCAGGAGGCGGGGAATAAGGAAGCGCGGCGTGCGTGCGGGCCCTTCCGACGTCAGCACGGGCCGGTGGCTCCGCCCCGCTGCTCGCGCCGCCGCAGCGTTCACTTCCTGGCCCTCCCCGCCTTTAGTGAAACCAACGAGAGGACGCCGCCTGCATCTAGAGCAGCCCGACCGAGAGCGCAGCCGGGTGGCGCGGGAACGTGAGAGGAAAGCCGTGCGCGGCTGCGCTTTCCCGCCCCTGAGCGGTTCTAGACGCGGGTGAGTGCCGGGGCGTGGGCCCGCACCCTGAGCGGACTTCTCCTGGGGGGAAGGCTTGGGCTCTGGCTCAGTCCCAGCATGCTCCACGCGGGGTACCCAGGCAGGTGCAGTAGGAGCAGTAGTTAGCGGGGGGAGAGGGAGAGTCGCCTGCGTGGAGGCGTTGCCTTGGCCCCTCAGTGGGGCTTTGAGGTGACCACGGCCTCCCTCTCATTTTTGTTCTCCATTTCGTCCTCCTCCCTTCACCATACTCCACCCAGCCACCTTCACCTTCTAAAAAGATGCCATCTCAGAAGCCACTCTGGTAGTTTTTGCCTCATTTGTGCCCGTGTGCAGTTTAAGTTTCCCTCTTCTCTGCACCAAACATCCTATCATGTACATACATCCCCAGTGTTACATTTTGTTTTTGCCCCCGCGATGGGAAAGAATCTACTCCTTAGAATAACTTATGTATATGATCCCATTGGGAAAAATTCTGACATGCATATGCTATTCTCAAGCCAAGAGACTCGTGTGAATTAAAATATACGGGCCAGAAATAATGAAGATTGTGTAGTATGAAATGTCAAAATCCTATAGAAATTACTTTTACAGTGCATCTGATAATTGTGATATTGGGCAGAACTTGTCTTCTGTCATTTCTTTTCCTTCTTAAAGCTATTTATTGACCAAGTTCTGTGAGTGACACAGGAAAAGCATCCTGCCTCTTTGCCTGCCCTATCCAGGAATTCCTCTGCCAAACTATTCCACATCTTGGCCTTCTAGTAAAAGTCAAAGTCCATTTCCTCTAGAAGAAAACCTGTGAGTGGTTTCCTTACAGCAGGATGCTGTGATGGATGCAAAATGTCAATTATAGTTAAACAAACCCCACATTTTTTTTTCATTTGTAGGAAAACAAATTTACTCTGTAACTCATCTGTTTAATTTTCAACACTATGAGTAGAAGCACTCTTCAGATCATTATTCTGTAATAGAAAAACCATTACACTATTATCAGGAGATATGATTTCTGGCTCAGTTCTACCACCGACTGTGTGACTTTGGGTCAGTTACTTAACCTCTGTGGACCCTCTCTTTCCCTATCTGTAAAATGAGAGAAATGATATTAGTTACCTTTTAAGACTTCTTTCAACTTTAAGACACAAACGGAGAAGTCTAAGTAGCTCAGTAGAACATCCCTTATGGAAATAGGAGACTGGTAAAATCTCAACAGTTGTATTTAATGTTGACTTTTCTTTTAATTTCTAATTGAAATAGAAGTGTAGACTTTTTCCCTTTTTACTTCCCCAAAGAATAAGAAAATGCCTTTGGAAGAAATAAAAATGTTTATTAATGGTTCCCCGGATGTGCTTGTATTGAGTCAGTTCTCATCTAAATAATTTAACTGTTTTCATTATGGACTTTTATTACATCAGTTAGTTGGGATACTGTATCGCAAAGCATTTAGTCTTAGGAACAAAAGAGTACATATTAACATGTATCAATCTCAACAAATTTGCTATAGATGTACTCAAACATCTAAGGACAGCAGCCATCAGTTAAAGCACTAGGTTGTGAACAGAAATGCCAGCACAGATACCATTGGTGATTTGCTAATAGTAGGTGATTTTATCTGTTCAATAAGATTTTGTTGTAAAGTCCATTTAGATCTATAGAAGTATTTAAATAATATAATGCAAACTTGTGAAATGAAATTCCTTTAAAGAGAATGATGCACTGACCACCTCTGTAACATTGGTTTCTAACCCTAGAAACCAATTATATAATTGAATATATACCAATTATATATAATATATATTTAATATATATTAATATATAAATTATATTATTATATATAATAATATATAATTAATATATATTTATATATAATTAATATATAAATTATAAATATATATAAATTATATATTTTATATATATATAAAAAAATTAAATTAAAATATAATATATATATTTATATATATATAAAATATTTTATATATATATAAATATATATATAAATATATATATAATATATATATATATAAATATATATATAATATATACATATAAAATATTTTATATATATATAAATTATAATATATAATTAAAATATAATTATAATATAATTAAAATTATATATTTTATATATATATAAAAATATATATATATATAAAATATATAATTAATATATAAATTAATTTTTATTGGTGTTCAATTTACCAACATACAGAATAACACCCAGTGCTCATCCCGTCAAGTGTCCCCCTCCGTGCCCGTCACCCATTCACCCCCACCCCCCGCCCTCCTCCCCTTCCACCACCCCTAGTTCATTTCCCAGAGTTAGAAGTCTTTATGTTCTGTGTCTCTAGGGTTAATTTAGTACTTAGTTAATTAAATCTCCATAGATGAAGCACAAAAATGGCCTCCCAGAAAATTCTAGTGCATAGAGGTGTTGTTGTAAAATTCCAGTTTATAGAGAACAGTGATCAGATAACATTGGAAGCCAAAGATTCTTAGTCCTCTTGGTACTCTATGCAACTAACTTGATTTCAAACTTGGGAACTTTTTTTTTGATGTTAAGAGCAAAATGTAAGTATATAAGGTATACCAAATCAGATCGTTAGACTAATTCTTTTCTATTAAGTATCCTAAGGATCTTTTTCTTCTTTATAGGAAAAATGCTTTCTGAAAGCAGTTCATTTTTGAAGGGCGTGATGCTCGGAAGCATTTTCTGTGCCTTGATCACTATGCTAGGACACGTTAGGATTGGTCATGGAAATAGAATGTACCACCATGAGCATCATCACCTACAAGCACCTAATAAAGAAGATATCTTGAAAATTTCAGAGGATGAACGCATGGAGCTCAGTAAGAGCTTTCGAGTGTACTGTATCATCCTTGTAAAACCCAAAGATGTGAGTCTTTGGGCTGCAGTGAAGGAGACTTGGACCAAACACTGTGACAAAGCAGAATTCTTCAGTTCTGAAAATGTTAAAGTATTTGAGTCAATTGACATGGAAACAAATGACATGTGGCTAATGATGAGAAAAGCTTACAAATATGCCTTTGATAAATACAGAGACCAATACAACTGGTTCTTCCTTGCACGACCCACTACATTTGCTATTATTGAAAACTTAAAGTATTTTTTGTTAAAAAAGGATCCATCACAACCTTTCTATCTAGGCCACACTATAAAATCTGGAGACTTTGAATATGTGAGTGTAGATGGAGGCATTGTCTTAAGTATAGAATCAATGAAAAGACTTAACAGCCTCCTCAGTATACCTGAAAAGTGTCCTGAACAGGGAGGGATGATTTGGAAGATATCTGAAGATAAGCAGCTAGCAGTCTGCCTGAAATATGCTGGAGTGTTTGCAGAAAATGCAGAAGATTCTGAAGGAAAAGATGTATTTAATACCAAATCCGTTGGGCTTTTTATTAAAGAGGCAATGACTAATCACCCCAACCTTGTGGTAGAAGGGTGCTGTTCAGATATGGCTGTTACTTTTAACGGACTGACTCCTAATCAGATGCATGTGATGATGTATGGGGTATACCGTCTTAGGGCGTTTGGGCATATTTTCCACGATGCATTGGTTTTCTTACCTCCAAATGGATCTGACAATGACTGAGAAGTGAAAGAAGAGCATATACGATCACCATATAGGACAGGTATTGTGACTATTTGTAGTAACAACCACATATCCAATACAGTGATATGTTTCTTTTTCTTTTTTAGTTTGGTGGCACTGGTTAAGTTGCACATTAATGTTTAATGGTACATTTTTAAATAGGGCAGGGGTTTTTTCCCTTAAAACACGTGAAAATTTCAAACATGTTGCGAAGAAATGTTTTAAGAATGATAATTTTGCAAATAAAAGATATATTTATAAATATATTTATGTGATAAATTCTAAATTATGAATCTTGGCACATATTTTTGCTGATCGGTTAAGAAAATTAACATGCCTTTTTAGCTTTCTGAGATATGCAAATAAAATCTCTAGTTGTGAATTTGTGAGTAAAGTAAAACTTTCAGCTCTGTGTTTCCATTACTTATAATACTGGTATATGTTATGAGCCTCTGCAAAGTGCCCATGGATTTGCTTTCTCAAAATACACAACCAAGCAACAAAAGAAATGTTCCCAACTAATGTTAAAGTGAAAGTTGAATTCTTTCCCTGGGAGAAAAAGTGAAAATTACCTATAAAGGTTAATAATTTTCCTGGGAGCTAAAATAATGGCATTCCTCAGCATATACAAGTTCAGCGTAACTCTACTTCTCTATGCAGTGGTCACTATGAAGAATCTATATCAGTTGAGATTTCTTTACTCCTGCTGGGCAAATGAGTTCTCTGGAACTCTCCTTTCAACTTGTTTTGATAGTCTGGCAGTTTCACTTACCTGAGTAGAGTCTGCCCTGGTTTTTGTATACCTCTTCAAATTTTGAGACTTTTCCCATGCTCATAGTTGCATCATATCCGGTGGTTTGGGGTATGGAAGCCTTAACCTCACCATTCACCTTGAATTACCATACCATTTGCCTAATTTCAGTGGCTACTCAGAAGCTTTATCCAGGGGTGAATATAATAGCTCATGTACTTATAATCGTGTGAAATAATTGGAGCTGATTTGCTCTATAATTGGGGCTGCACATGCTATATTAA